ACAAGTGACAAACTCAACCTATGTTGAGCCATCTGCGTTGAACAACGTATGCTGTGCAGTAAGCGTTTTCTGATATAAAAAGTGGTGCAATATATGTGGTGCAATCTGTGTGGCGCGACCTAGGTCGCCACGCATGTTGGGAATGACATCTACGTGGCACAACCTATGTGGTCCAATTCGTTTGTGCATGACGGGTTGTCAACATCACTGGTCGCGCAATCATCCCACGCCACTTCCACCTGTTACATGGATTGCAAGACCCATGCGGCAACCATTGCGATGACTGCTTGGCGCTGGCAGGCGCATCGTTGCGGCCGCGACAGCGCGCGCAGGCTCGCGCGCAGAGCGGCCAGCTAGTCTGGCGCGACCGACGCGGCCGCGGTGGCGCTGACCGCTGGGGACTTCCCAGCGCGTCTCGCAGGCCGCGCTGACGCGCGGGCACCTGTGCGAATCGGTGACTCGGGCGAGCGCGGTGTCATGGCGACGCCGACAGCGCCAGACACGGCGATGATAGTAGCGACGCGGGTGACCACATTGACGGTGACGATGGCAGGGCCAAAAGCGGCGCCGATCCTGATCACGCCGAGGACGATAGTATTGCCCACGCGTCGGTGAATAAAAAATCGGACCGGTTTCGATATGCGCGCGCGGCCAGCTTGCGCGAAGTGCCAACATGGTGTCATTCGACACGGGCCTTCCCCCCCCCCTCCCCCCGCCGCCCCCCGCTCCACACCAGCAAACGCGCAAAGACGTTCGAATGATGTCGACACGCGCGCGCGCGAGGAGGGGCCGCTGGGTCGCACTTGATGAAAGAAACGCGCAGACTCCCTTGACAACTCATGATACGAAACAATGTGTTGTCAAATGTTTCCTGGATGCTAGATCTTGAAACCCGTGCGGGAGTTAAGGTGTTTGACGTGTTTCGACATGCGCGCGCGGCCAACGGGCGCGACTGGCCAACATGTTATTTTGACATGGACCGTGCCCCTCCACCCCCAGCAAGCGCGCAAAGGCATCCGAATGAATGCGGCACGCGCGCGCGAGAGGCCCGCTTGGTCGCATTTGATGCACAATTCAAAGAAGACTACGGTGACTGCAAGAATTCGCAAAATCGCGCAGACTGTCTTGAAAACTCATGTTTCGAAACCGTTTGCTCTTAGATGTTTCTGGCAACTCGATTTTGAAATCCCTGCGGGAGCTAAATATTTCGACGGATTTCGGCAAGCGCGCGAGTCGACGCGCACGTGTCGAATTGGTCCCGTTTCTGTTGCAAGGGATTCGCGCCCCCAACAAGAGCGCAACAACGGTCGAATAGTTCAGCCACGCGCGCGAGAGAGGCTTGCTTGGTCGCTCTTGATGAGAATATCGGAAGCCCGCCGGTTCTCTTTCTTTTTTTCATATGTACTTATACAGGTACGAATGTATAAAGCAAGAGCGCGCGCAGACTTTTTGAAGCATCAGGTTGCGAAGCTGTTCTGTTTCGACCGATACCCGCCGAAAACTTCGGCGTTTGTTTCCTAAGGTGCGCGCGCGCACAGGGACGATGCGCGCAGGGCCTGGTGGTCTCAGCCAGCGCGGCGGCCAGGCCAGGACGCAAGTTGCCGTTGCCTTACAATGCCAACAGCCCCAAGTCGTTGTATGAGGGAAACCCTAGACGAACGACACCGCAACAATTCCTGGGGCGTTAAACCAAAGCCCCAAACTCGCGGTTTGAGCAAGACCCCAAACTTCGTTCGGAGAGAACCTGCATCCTGCTGACAGGAGGGTGGGGACGAATAGTAGGAAGAGGAGGAGGAGGAGGAGGAGGAGGAGGAGGAGGAGGAAGAAGAGGCTTTATTCTGTTCGTTTGGAATCTGCCCCAGAGAAGTAAGTGGCACCATGGTCGGTTATGTTGTGTTCTGGGCAGGCCCGGCCCTGTACCCAGCCTGACCTTGGCGCGCACGTTGCGTTTAATTGAGCTATGAGCTGGTCGGTGATGGTAAGCTTTTCGTTCGATGAAACGCCGTGCGTCGGCTGCTGCTGCAATTTAGTGTGCAAACATGTGTCCGCGTGTCGAACCATGTAATCTCATTATTTGGGCGGGCCGGCGGCGCGTCGTGACGCCTGTCACGTTTGATCTATCGTGTCGTCGGTCGATGCTGCTACTGTTTGCTTCTGTGGCCAACGTGGGTTCGGCGCGTATGCCACGCGTATGGTAAATCAGCAATGTTTGGTCTTTGCGGTGTTCTACCTTTTGACGCCGTCACGCCTGTCACGCTTGAGGCGTCGTCAAATCAGTCGTTGTTGCGCCTGTTTCTGTCCTGTGCCCATCCTTACGTCAGCGTGGATGCTTGGTGTGACAAATCATTAATCCGTCGCTCTTGCAATTTACAATATTCACGGGTACAATCCCAAAATGCTTTACTATGCGATATTCTCGACGGGCCGTCGTGTCGTCGTGACGCTTGTCACGTTCGATACGCCGTGCGGTCAGTCGTTTTGCGCCTGTTCGTTTTGTGGCCGACCGGACGTCTGCGCGCACGTCGCGTTCGATATCATTTGGTTTAGGTTGATTAGCATGCTCGTTTGATACATTACGCGGCCCCTCCGTAGCATACTCTGTGACGGTATTGTCTGTTCCGTTCTGATATATGCGCACGTGGTGTGTTTCGTTATGTCATCGACGGGGCGGCGTGACGTCGTGATGCCCGTCATGTTTGGTATGTCGTCCCCTCGGTCGTTGTTTTGCCTGTTTTTGCCCCGCGGCCAACCTTACGTCGGCGTGGATGCTGCGTTCGACAGGGCACCATTCATCGGTTGTTGCTGTATATATCAGCACTCGACCATGTGGTATCCCCGCGTGTTCTAGTGTGCTATACTGTGTTATGTTTAGTTGAGCCTTCAACAGGCCGAGGTGGCGTCGTGACGCCTGTCGCGCAAGAAGAGACACCAAAAACATGAGTCACAATTCGGGGCCCCGCCCGCCGCGCATCGGGACTCCCATGGGCAGTTTCGCCAGTGCGGGGCTGGAGCCTCCTGTCTTGTGTTTAGGCGTCGGGAGCCTCCGTCAAACGATGTTCAGGTGCCGCAGAAAAATGCAGGAGGCAGACTGATCTGTGATACGCGCAAGACGAACCAGGCGCAGCCTGCAACTTGCATAGCCTGGAACGGGCGAGTTTTACATTGCCCGCTCCATCGTTCGTCCTGCGCGCCGCTGAGCGCTCCGACCAACGGTCACTCGCGCCTTGCGCTCGTCTGAAATATCCCAGGTCTGGGGAGGAGAACAAAGAGGAGCAGCATGGCGAGCAGGGCGACAAGGGGGAGGAGAGGATGGGTGGAGAAGCCTAGGACTGGCTTGGGCAGGATTAGGGCCACTGGGTCTGCGCCCAGCGTCCGACGTTGGAGGGAACGGGAGAGGAGGGCCAAGAGGAGGAGGAAAAGGAGGAGAAGGAGTGGGGGTTACGGCTTAGGGCGGAAGCCAGGGGGAGGATGGAGAGGAGAGGGAGCGAGCGGGAGCGGGAGGGGATGAGAGGGCGGAGGAGGAAGAAAGGGGGAGGAAAGGAAGAGGGGGGGACAGAGGAGGAGGAGGAGGAGGAGGAGGAGGAGGAGGAGGAGGAGGAGGAGGAGGAGGAGGTGTAGGAGGTGTAGGAGGAGGAGGAGGAGCAGGAGGAGGGGCAGCAGGGGAAAAACACCCTCACCGCTGCATTCCCCTGGCCTGCCGGTCGTCAGGGAGGGGCCGCTGCGACCCTATAGGGCTCAAGATGAAGCGTGGCCCCGGGTCACCTTCGGGTGTTGCTAGAAGTGCCCCTGGGCCCAGGTGCCCCCAGAATTTTCGCGGTAGCCCAATCGGCCCCCAGAGCACCCCTCACGAGGCCCAGAGGGCCCCAGGGGCTCCAGAATGGAGCGAAAAGCCAGGGGCACCTTGGGCCAGCGGTACTTCTAGCAACACCCGACACCTGAGCCCGCGCGCTGCCGGCGCCTCAGCCCCGCCTGTCTGCGCCGCGACGATTTCGTCCACCCGGGGGCCGCCCGCCGATGGGGCCGGAGCCCCCGGGGGCCCCGCACGGCGCCCTCGCGGTCATCTCTGGCGCCCCAGGGTGCGCCGAGCCCGGGCGAGCCCAGCCCGTCGGTCAGACCTGCTGCGGGCCCCGCTGTGCCGCTCGTGCAAATGCCGACCCCGTGCGTCGACGTTCCAGGCGCGCGCCAGCTTCTGAGTGAGGGGCCCCGAGCTCTTGTCCATCGTCTGCGAGAGCGCCTCTGCTGAACAGGGGGCGCACCGCAGTAGGTACACATCGGTAATCCACTGTCGCCAGGCGGCTTGGGAGGAAAGCGCCGTAAAGCGCTATAGCAGCTCTCTTCGCACCTTCGCAAATTCGCTCGAGTCCCACATGGTTTACAGTTGTTGCCATGTGATCCAGACGTGAAGTTTATGATGTTGTTCGCTCAGATGGACGGCCGGTCCTGGTCATCCGTCACCAACTTAAAACAGTGTGCCGTTTGCCAGAAGAGCTGGTGCAGGCTCAGGGCGGCTGGTCAACCCCTGAGACGATGCGCGCCTTTTACGCTCGCTTCTCAAATCAAACAATGAGCGGTGCGATCAGCAGTTGCACGCCGTGTCAACCGTCTCCGCAGATGTGGCGGTGCCGGCCACGGCCCATCCTCAGGCGCGCGTTTCACAAATGCCTCTGCGGAGGCGCCTCGCCGGGAGTTTGTAAAAATTCGCCTCACAGGGGTTGCGCCTGGCCGGTGTTCCTGGCGACCGTTCGTGGGTCGCCGCGGACCTGGGCAGGCCGGCCTGCAGCTCCTGAGTCACCACCACGCGAGGCATATGTTGCTAGACGCTGGAACGGTCACCAGGGCCTCGACGACAGAGAACCCCTATCTTGCTCCGTCCCCTGCCACAATACGGCGAGCAAGCTTAAGGGCAGGAGGAGTAGGAGAAGGAGAAAGAGGAGGGGGGAGGAGGAAGAGGAGCACCAGGAGGATCAACCAGCGGAGCGGGAACAGCCCTCCCAGGGGGC